CTTGTGTGTGTGTGTGTGTGTGTGTGTGTGTGTGTGTGTGTGTGTGTGTGTGTGTGTGTGTGTGTGTGTCCCTGGTTGGTTTTAGGGAGAAATAAAATGATTCTATTGCTGCTACTTTTATAATTACTGTTGCTCGTGTTGTCGTAGGTGTTGATATTGATATTGTTGCCAGTTTCTCTCTAATGTACAGTAGAAACTATCTAAGACAGTTACACATTGTCAAGGAGAGGTTTTTTTCTGAGGCAGGGTATACCTTACACAGTGTCTTTGGGATATAACTAAAGCACCAGTGAGGAAATGGTAAGTGGCAGTTGGTAGAGGCCAAATCTTGGACAAGTCGTGACCGTAATATGGGGTGCCCACTACGGATGAGATCGGCCGATCCCCCGACTCGGTCGCCTCAAAAACAAACGTGTTTGTATTCAGTTTCAGGCGATCGAGTCGGACGATCGGCCCGATCCAGCCGTAGTGGGCACTCCGTATTAGTGTATGTTTGGACTCTGCTTCACAGGACCAAACTGTATATTTTGTATAAGGCGGCTCGACCTCATAGTCGACAACTGCTCGCTACCTCAGAACTACAAAGTTCTAACTGCTCAATAATAGTCTTGAGAGATTTGACGTCAATTCTATTTTACTTTCGAAATGCCAAGCTTTTCGGAAGCAATTCTTTGAATATCTTGATAATTTTTTACTCTGAATATTCTTACGATAGAGCAGATGGCGCACTAATTGCTGTCTGACCTTTTGGCCTTAGTAACTCAAAACAGCCAAAAATATCAGAACTATGCAATTCTGAGAAATCGTTTTGTTAACTCTTTCGATAACATGATCCGTTTTATCACTGCCGTCGTTCATATTTGACAAAGTGCTGAAAATTCGTTTTCTTATGAATATTGAAGCTGCAAGAGCCTGGATCACTTTGAAAAATCGCAGAAGTATAGATATAAACCTTCAACACTATACATATACACTGAACGTTTTTTGGCTTAACTCTTCTCATGTACACATTATTAGTTATGGTATGGCGTTTAAATACAACCTGTGCAAAAGGCCAATGTACTTTTTGCGCTAGTTCTAATGGCATTTGATAGTTTTGTGCCAGTATTACTATTGTTGTTGATGCTGCTGAAGGGAATTATGCTTTTGTTGCTGTTATTGTTGCTGTTGTTGTTGTTGTTGTGGTTGTTGTTGTTGTTGTTGTTGTTGTTGTTGTTGTTGTTCCTCTTCTTCTTCTTCTTCTTC